CTAGAGAGAGTAATAAATAAGTTGTGGCTTTGCTTTCAGTGTACTTTCTGGGTGCGAGGGAACAGGTACACACAAGGACAGTACTGTGTCACATGCTGGAAGGGAGGGGAGGACAGCATGCTGAGGGAGCTGAGCAGGGAATTTGGATTCTGCAGCTGGAGGGGCGAGAGGAAGGTCACAAAGTCCCCTCAGAGGATAGAAGTGCTGGCTTCTAGGAAGTGGGTATTCCAGACTCCTCTACCCTTTCCTAAACCTCCACCCTAAGGAGTAATGAATCAAGCAAAGGAGATTTTTTACTCGTCCCAGGAGTGAATAGAGAATCCTGGTTAAAGACTAAGTCCCTCTGTCTGCCAGCTGGCCACATCGAGGACCAGAGTTCAGCATGTTGGGGAGAGGCCCCACAGCACTCCTCATTCCAGAGCTGTGCATGTGCAATACATATTATTCCAGACGTTTTCTGGGTATAAAACTCGTATGTATACACATTGCCCTTTTAAACATCCCTGTAGTGATGAATGTTTAGGTTGTATCCCCACATTTGCTATTAGAAAGTTGAAATTAACATCTTTGTACATAATGCTTCATAAATGTGTTCCAGTACAAATACTGGGTCAACTTCTAAATATGTAATTTGAGTGTCACAAAGCTATGTGTGTATTTAATTTTTATAGATTTTGCCAAATTGGCCTAAAAAATGATTGCATCCGTTGACGTTTCCATCAGCAGCATAGGAGACAACATGGACTTTGGAGTCTGAAGGTCTGAGTGCAATCCTGGCTCTCACTTGACAGCTGCGGGAACTGGCCTCAGCATCCTGAGTGGACACCTAAGTAATGCGGCGGATCCAAGAAGGATGCATAAAGCAAGCAGCACAGCGTGGTCACCACAAACTTTCCTTACCATCAGTTCTTCCACCTTCAGCATCCTTCTTCAGAACTGGGATCCTTCCCTCTCTTCCAGCCTCACAGTAACAAAGGGTTGTCATGGGGCCCAAGCAAAGGAGTGTGTGTGAACGTGCTTTACCGTACATATGAGAAGTACTGTCAGTGCACAGTAAATATTTCCATCTTCTGCCTTCCTCTGCTAATGAAAGCTGTTCACATTCAAGACTGCTGTTGGCATCAGAGGCCTAGTCTGTGACCAGGAGACAGAGTTAAGCTAATTGCCCAACCCCAGTGTCATAGCTACATCTTGGCTTCCTTCATCACAGGAACTAGCTGTAATGTAATCCAGTCAGATTCACAGCACATCACCTGGATCCCTTTCCTGACCCTCCATCCCTGCCCACATCTACAAGCCAGACAGAGACACAAGTGAGAAGATGCCATCTGGTCCTAGCCCTGCCACCGCTCAATGGATAAGATAACCTTTCCCTCCAAACTGCCATATCCCCAGCTATAAAAGGAGTAGAAAAGGATCATTTCCAAGGGCTTACCCAACTCTTTTGTTCTAGATAAGTTCACTTTCTAGATGCAGAGTGAGAACATCACACAAAAAGGTTGCAGTATTTGACAACAGACTTTTCATAATGCCCAGAAATTGGGAAGAAAATCCAAGCCACTGGACTGTCCCCTGGGACAAAGCAAACCCTGGTCCTCCAGGTCGTGACCACATTCCAGGCTGCACTGTTCACTCGCTGCCCATGGAACCCAGCCGCAGCTTTTGGTTATGGGGCCAATTTACTGCCTAACCTTCTCTGAGTGGCTGTAAGACAGGAAAAGTCTGGCAGCCCTCAATCTTTGCATTTATTTTGCTCATTATGAAGTTGGATTTTTATGACAAAAATACAACCAAGTAACAAATTTTAGTTGAGAAAGGGGAAAATTGTCATTTGTCCCCAAATCCTACAATTGACAAAACCAGTCTATTTCCTCCTACACCCTCGCTGTGTTTGCTGTTACTGCTTGATCTGCCAAGAATCTAAATACCAAAGAGCATCCTGTACCTGAACCATTTTCCTGGTCCCACTGGCCAACAAACAAATGTACTTCTGCCGCATCTGTTTTGGAGAGCTCTAGTCTGGGAATATTTTACTGGAATATTATCCTGAAACAGAACAGAAATGAACCCACATCCCTTCCACACTGTGTGCTAAACACCTAAGCATCCTTCTTCTTGTCGCCCATTTGCTCCTGTGAGGGGCGGGCAGGAAAGAGCCAGGTCAAGCATCCTGTATTCAAGTCCCTCGGCTTCCTGAATGGGCTGTGACCTTAGACTCTTCCCTTCACCTTTCTGGGCCTTGCTTTCCTCATCTGTAAAATGGGAATAGAAAAGCAATGCAAACTTTCTAAGATCCAGGAAGATCAAAGAAGATAATGTACAGGTAAACTGAAATTAATTTTGACTCGTGGATGTGCATCTAGAGAAAGAAAACAGCCTGCACCCAGACAGGGTCTGAATCTCACAGATGGGTCCACACCTGGTGCCACCGGGATTCCTCCAGAGACCATCTTAGGGGCCAGGACCCACCACTACCCAATTGCTATTTGTCTTGTCAGAAAACTTATGCCCCAAGCCATGTTCTGGGCACTAGTGATGCAAATGACTCAGACCTCATCCCTGTTACCGAGGGGCTCGTATCTGATGGGACAGACTCAGGAACACCAGACTCCAGCCAAGCTGTCTTCCCAGGACAGAGAAATGGCCAAGGGGCAGTAGGAGCCCAGAACAAGGGTTTCTGTCATTTCTCCTCAGGTGTCAGGCCCATAGGGCCCGAGATCAGGCAGGGCAGGCAGAGGAGGTGATACACCCGCAGAACAGCCCTGGGAAGGAGCTGAGTCACCTTCAGTGAGGCCCAGAGCCCTGGAGAGGGAAGACTCGCAGATGGAGAAACTCCTTGCCCTGGCGTCACTGACTTGCCCAGGGTCTCTCAGGAAGACAACTGGGAGCAGAACCTATAACTGAGCCTCCAGAAGACCAGGCCAGCCCCTCTCTACAGAGCCTGAATGCAGTTTTCAGAAAAGGGAATCAGAGGCCTGGGTTCTTATCCCAGCTCTGCCGTGTGAGCCTGCGCGAGGCCCTGCCCCATCTCTGGGAGGCAGCAACTGAGCACTTGAGTACTGGAAACCTGAGTGGAGTACTGAACCCCTGGAGAGGTGCTCAGCACCAGGGCTCTCTACCCCACCCCCAACAGGGACTGCAGAGATTAGAGGCGCAGCCTTGTGAGCTGCATCCCCTCTGAGCACTTGCCCGCTCAGCCTGTGCCAGCCCCTCTTCCTCCAGGCCCACCTCATTTTCAGGACGCCTGGGCCTGTCTGGCTCCTCCAGGAAGCACTCCTTCCAAGTTAAGGTGTGTGTACTCCCTGAGATGTGGAACCTGCACCGCAAGGTGTGCTGTCAAATTCACCCCACAAAGGGGAGGTTTAAGGGAAGCAAAGGGGCCACTGTCCCAGGAGTCGAGTCAAATCATTTCCTGAGCACCTTTTCTGGGTTATCTAAACAGTCTTCACAGCAATCCTGAGGCACTTGCCCCAAATGGGGTAGCTGGTTAACAGCCTCCTGTTCACCTCACTCCTGTGGCTCTGCATGTCTCTCACTTCAAGGGACACTAACCCTCCAAGCTCAGGCCCAGGGCCCAGAATAGGAGATGCAGGGAAGGATTTAGGTTAGACATAAAGCTAGAGTCACCCCCTGGCAAGGGGCACACCACTGGGACACAGGGGACATGCCCTGCAGTGCTACCTAACTGGGAGCCCAGATTCTCTGATGTTTTGTTTTTAAAAAGTAGAACAGTCACAATATAGCTGTGCCAGCTGTGTGACCTCACATCACTTAACCTCTCTGAGCCTCAATTTTCTTCACCGTTAAAGAGATACTTACATCCCAAGGTGGTTGGGAGGAACAAATAAGATACTGCAGGAAAAGCAGTGCACGGGGCCTAACATAAGCACTGGGTAATGGTGGCTACTGGAAGGAAGCCATGGATCCCAGGAGGTGGGAGGTGGGAGAATGGCCTCTGCAGACACTAGGCAACTGGTGACTCCTGGTGGGTGCAGGGAGCTAAGGCATGAGGGCTGGGCCTATGGGAATCAGATGCAAAGAATGCTGGACTCCCAGCGTCTTCAACTTAGACTTGTCAAGTCCTTGAGTAAGAGAATGTAGCCACTTAAACATTTCCTGAGGCTTTCTCTGTGCCAGGCCTGATCCCAGGGCATACTTTGTCCCCATCCAGGTCTCCTCCAAGAGCTCCCTGCTGAAAATGGACGAGACAGACACAAACGGGAGCACTGGCTGGCGGTGGCACCTGGCCAGCCTGGCAGGGAAGGGAGGGCTTTCAGTGAGGGGATCCTGGAGGATACATATGAATTGGGCGCTGGGAGGGAAGAACCTTCTGAGCAGAGAGGAAATCACATGTAAGACAATTACATGTCAGAGTAGCAGGAAATGATGCAGCTGAGGCCAGCAGGGTAGCTCCAAGGCCTTTGAAATTCATGCTGAGGCGTTAGCTGCAAGCTAGGTGGGAACTTCAAAGGGTTGCACTTGTGACATGACACCTTAGAAAGGCACCATGGTAAGGAGAGGACTGGGTAGAGTGACATCAGGTTTAGAAGGTGGCCTGCAGTGGCAGCAGGTAGGGAAAGTGAGACAGCTGCCCTAGGCCATGGTGCAGAGAGGATGTGGGGTTGAGCGAGCTTATGTCAGGGGCAGATGAGGCCCAGGAGGCAGCCAGGTATCACCTAAAGCTCAGAGGACAGCAGGATGGCCACGAGCAGTGAGTAATTGGGAGTCAGTAGAGTGTAGATTTGGGTATTTAACCAACACTCACACAGCTTTTGACACGTGCCAGGAGCTTTACAAATATTAACACATTGAGTCTTTGAGGTGGACACTATCATTATCACAATTTACAGGTGAGGAAACTAAGACGCAGAAACGTTAAGTAACTTGCTCAAAATTTTCAGCTGTTCACAGCAAGATGGCCATCTGTGAATCAAGAAGTTCTCTCACCAGACTTCAGATCCAACACCTTGATCTCAGACTTCCTACCTCCAGAAGTCTGAGAAATAAATGTTTATTAAGTGTAAAAACAAACACACCAAAAAAACCATTCAGCTACTAAATGGTGGAGCTGAGATTCACACCCAGACAGTATGGCTGCAGAGTCCAGGCTCTTAGCTCTCTGCTGCTCATTCTGGAAATGGTTTCCAAAACCCTGGGACTGGCAAAGATTCCCCCCAAAGAGATTCGTAAGATGATATGAAGGCTGAGAGTTCTAGCGTGAAGCCTTTAACTCAGCAGCGCAGACCCCCAGAGGTCGGCCTCCATCACTCAGGGACGAAGTCCCCTCTACTGCCTCAGGACTGGCGATGGCTGCTCTGCTCACTCCCCCACCAGGCCCCAGGTTGATGAAGGGAGTGGGGAGCCCTGTTGGGTCTATACCTTGTACTTCAGATGCTTTTTGTGCAGATTAAATTTTATGCCAATGTAAGCGAAGGCCCAGGCCCAGCCCACCTCTACCCTCCCAGACTCACAGACACATAGAGGCTGTTGCCCACCCACTCCAGGCTCTGGGTCTGGAGCAAAAAAGTGGCTGGTCTAAAGGCAAGTCTGTGACATCAAGTGTACCAAGTACTTGACATCATACTCCAGTTAGGACCCTTTCCACCAGGGCCCTTCTGGGCTGCCTTCCCTGCTCCCTCAGACTCCCACAGCCCCTCCTGGGCCTCAGTCTACTCTGGGTGCCTGAAGCAGGAGGGCCCAAGGTGTTGGCTTGGCCTCAGGACCAGCTTGGACCAAGGGTGAAATTCCCATGGCTCCAAGAGCCGGCTGCCTTTTTCTGCTTCTGGCCTTTCTGTGTGCTGCCTCCTCTTAGACTTGAACAACACAAAGGTCAGACTGGATCTGCCCAGCTCTGTGCAGGATGAGGAAAGGCGGCCAAGCCCAGGTCTCCTCAAGCCACCAGCCCAAAGGCCTCTCTGTTCCCTAAATGCTGCAAAAGAGGCAAGTAGACACTAGTTTAAATACATTTTTTTTCCATTTTTAGTAGAGAAAATGAGGAGACAGAAATAAAAAAATACTGTAACCACCCCCTCGCAACAACCCACACTTTGTTTTTAAACAAAGAGACCAGGTCCTGCCAGGCCTTCCCCACTAAATGCCCTGAAGCCACCCCACCCCACACACACCACTCCTGTCCATACCCCACCTGCCCGCTGGCCCTGGAGCCGGGGGAAGCAGTGGGAAGCTGTCCTCTGGCTTCGAACTTCGGACTAGAGCTCCAGCCCAGGCAGGGGGGTCGTGGCACTAACGCCAAAGTACAATCTTCCTGGCCTGGTCCACGCTCGCCACATGGCTCCCAGAGTAGCACCAGGCCACGGCGTTGACAGCAGCACTGAGGAGAGGGAAGGCCAGGCTTCAGGGGTGCGTCAGGAGCCTGATGCTGCCCCTTATTACTGGACCTGGGAGGTTTGAGGTCCTCTTTAAGCCCATTTCCTGGCCTGTAAAATGGGCTCACAGGGCTGCGGTGAGGATGGAACAGAGCACATGTGGAAAGGCATCTTATAAACTGTGAAGGGCTCTGGGAGGTAGAAGGTGTGGGGACAAGGGCAGGGGATTCCAGAGCCCAAGCATGTCAGAACCTGGAATTGGCTCAGCAGGGCTGGGGCCGGGGCGGCACTGGCCCTGAGGCTGGGGTGGGCAGGTGGGTGGGTGGTGGCCATGCTTACCAGTGGGGTCCCCGTAGGCTTCTCTCCAATTTCCCAGTGTTTACATCCCAGATATAAAGGGCCCCGTCCCAGGAACCTGCCAGTGCATAGCTTCTGTCTGGGCTGCAGTGTCCACAGCAGAGCAAGAGAGAGGAGATCAGAGGTGAGGACACACAGAGACACAATCAGATGGGACACACTTGGGCATAGGCATGTGCTCTCACAGACACACCTGAACACGGCTTTGGTCCAGTCAGAACCACACTTGAAGCCATCAGCACTGAGGACAGACAGAGTCGAGTCACAATGGAAGTGGCCACCAGTCCCCTGCCCTCAGCCAGGAACTTCGAGAGCTTCCTCTCTCCATCAAAGTGTTGGCACCTCAGCAGACACTGGTCCAGAAAAGACCTCCAAGGAGCAACCCACCCACCCCCACCCCACCCCTGCTGACAGGCCCTGGGGGGCCTTTTTCAGGAGACAAGAAGCCCAGCTGCCCCAGCCAAAGCCACAGGGTCAGCAGCCACGTGGCAGGTACCTGAACACCTGGCGGATGTTGTTGACACGCAAGTCGATGACCTTGAGTGTGTCATCACGGGAACAGCTGAGCAGATGCAGCTGATCATGGCTGAGGCTCAGGGAGGTGACTCGGCCCTGCACAGGGATGACCTGGATACAGCGGGGCACTCTGAGGAGCAAGGACAGAGATGAGGGTGACAGGCTTACGAAGCCCAGAGGTAAACCTGGTCTCCAAGCACTGGGGCCAAGGCTGACAGTGATTAACTTTCCACTGCAGCCAGCCTCGCCCCAACGGGAACTTAGGCAGCCCTTGACTCGAAGCTGGAGCCCCCAAGACCCTACAGTCACTAAACTAATGCCAGAGGGAAAGCAATGGAACTCTGTCTTTACATGGGTGAAAGAGCCAGAGGGTTTCAAATGGCAATCACTACACACCAGTAAGGAGAAGCCTGCAGCAGGTCCAGAACTGGCTCCAGCACTGGCTGTTATAAACCACTCAAGCCCAATGTTGGGCTCTTAGGTTTAAAAAACAACCAAAACTTTTGTTCCTTTTGTTTAAAAAGTAGTAACTAAATGGAAAAAGGGGCTTCTACATCTTGGTGGTCAAAGCCCAGGCAGAGTCCAGTGGTTGGACAGAGAGCCACTGAGGTGGCACAGGTCCCCTGGCTGAGCCTTCAGGGGGCCAAGCCCAGCACAGAGGCCACCGCAGCTTCACTTCCCCGAGGTCCCCTCCACAGCTCCATGGCCAGAGAAAAGAAAGAGAACACAGGAGCCCTGTCCCTATGCCTCCACTACCCATAGCCCATGCCTGTCACCTGCTGTCCCAGAACCGGATCATCTGGTCATTGTGGCCACTAATGATGATATGGTCCCCACACACCACGTCATTACAGTAGGAAAGGACATTGATGGTCCTGGAGCCTAGGAAACAAGGAGCAGAGCCCCAGCTTCAGAGAAGGGTGGTCAGGAGCCCGTCCACTAGACATGTGAGAAGCCCCAGAGGGCAGGGTCCTCGCAGAACTAGACCCTGGGTGGCTTCCCTGCTTCCCAACCCAAAGCCTGTCATCAAGAAACTGGCAGAAAGCACCAATGGGGGATAGAGGAGGGGTTTGGGGAGATTTCACCCCAAATGTCTGTGAATCTCAGTATCATTCCCAGAGAGCAGGTTGAGGTCCCTCATGGACAGTCCGGGGTCGGGGGGAGGAGGGCAGGGACCCCAGAGGGTGGGGATGGGGGGGCCTCACAGGAAGCACGGCAGAGGTCCCATTCCTTTACTGTCCGGTCTCGGCTCCCAGTCACTGCCTGGTGCCTTGTTAGCTTGAATTTGGCAGCCGTCACCTTGTCTGTGTGTCCAGACAGCGTCTCCTGCCCCCCCAAATATGGACTAAGGGCATGGCCAAGACTCCATAACACCCCCTCCAAGCCAAGGCATGACCCCTGACCCCCCCAGGCTCCCTCCCCAGTCAGACCTCACCTTGGACTGTGCCTCTCCCACCTTCCAGAGCTGAGCGGCCTGATTATAAGTAGCTGCCAATATCTGGGAGCCCTGGAGAGATGGGAGTAGGAGGGAGGGGTCCTAGACTCGGTCCTGGACCGAGGCAACATCCCTCAGGCCAGAGAGCTGGGGCAGGGCTGCCTCAGAGCTTCCCACAGCCCAGGTCCCCCAGGCAGGCAGGAGTCTCTGGGCCCAGGCAGGGAGGAGGATTTGTGTGGGAGCCTGAGGGCCCAGTTCTAGGATACCCATGTGTTCCCTCAGGTCCCAGAGGCCCCACATGCCTCAGGTGTAGACTGGGGGAGACAGACTCACCGAGGGGTCGAAGTCCACACTGGTGATGCTGCCACCAGCTCCTTCAAGGGTGTGATTGGCCTCCAGGCGACCTGGGGTGACCACAGGAAGGGACAGGTGCAATGAGGTCACTAACCTCATGAAAATGAGGGGCTAGGACTGGGAGTGGAAAAATCAGTCTTTCCCAAGTTAGAGAACAGAATTGCTGGGTCTGTTGGGGCCTGAGCTGGAGGCGGCACCTTCCCGAACTGCCAGTAGGGGGCCCCAGAGGGCAGTTTGTCATCCCACCGGGCTGGAAAGGACCAAAGAAAAGGGACTGTCCCTAGGTCACACAGCAAGCCAGGACACCCAGTCACCACTGGCAACTCACCTCCTCTAAGAAGCCTCCAAGAGCGGACTACCCAACACGCAATCCTCTATAGAGCCCAGGGTAGCTAATGGTCCCCTGAGTGCTGAGAGTTCAAATGATAACAGAAGAAGTGGCCTGGTATGGACCCCAGGGACCTGCTCTTCAAGGCCTGTCCTTCCTGATAGGGGACCCCCACCTCTCCTAACAAGGACCATCTGTGCTCAGTCCTCCCATCTTGCAGGCCTAGACCCAAGGAGCCTTTTTCAGAACAGTGAGCCCAGAACTCTTGCCAAGGGGTCATCTGGCTGCTGCCCACAAAAATTTTCCAGGGGAGGAAACATAAAGAGATCTAAGATCTTTGCCCACCAAGGAGCAAGCTGGGGGGAGGGGGGCCTGGGGAGAAATCATTGGGTTGGCCTGCAGGGGAGAGACTCTCACCTCCCACAACATTCCAGAGGTGGATGAGGCGGTCAGCCCCTCCAGTGGCCAGGAGGCTGCTGTTGGGGCCAAAACGAACAGCATTGACCTCAGAGAAGTGGGCATCCTGTGGGGAAAAGAGAAGGCTGGTGCCCTTGGTCCTTGCCATACAAGCCTCTTTGTGCATGCTCAAGGCTCTCTCTCACATATGTCTGTGCACACAGGGGGGTCTCATCACCTCTGCCTAGACTCCTGCAGCAGCCTCCCCCCATGCTGCCCCATAATCCCAACTGGCCTTCTGGTCTCCCAGCCTTCTGTCTCTCCCTCTCCAGTGCCCCCCTACCCCCCATCATAAAAGGCTGTGGGGACCCCAGGAAAATTCCTGCTCCTGCTGAGGAGCCCAGCCCTGCTTCCCTGGCCCCTTCGGACCACTCCTGGGGCCCACACTCTACATATCAGCACCCCATGCATGTGGCCAAGCTCCTTACCAGCACATCCTGAGCCGAGGTAGGAAGTCGGGCCGCCACACACACAGGGATGCTCTGGTATCGCTGCTCGGGGACTCCCCCGACTGAGTGGCCTCTCCTCTTCTTGAAACTTGGGGGCAAGGGGGAAAGGGGGAGGGGTCAGGAGGGCATTCAGCAAGGCCTTCTGTCAGGGAGCCTCAAGCTCCCCTGAGGCAGCAGCTATAGGAAGTGCGCATGGAAGACAGCAGAGCATGCCCAGGAGGTACAGCAAGCGGAGGTTCCCAGCCCAGCCTGACCCCAGGGGTCCGTGTGGAGATGGGAGGGGCACAGAGAAAGGCACAGGGGCAAGGCAGGGATGGTGGATGCAGAGAAACCTTAGGGCTGGGGTTTCAGCCCTGGCCATGCCACTGCTTGGCTCTGTTACCCTAACCGAGTCCCTGACATTTCTGAAACTCAGTTTCCCCACTGAGTGGTAGTTTCTGTCTGGTCTCAGGCTGGAGCTCTTGGTCCTCTGTGAGGAAATTGGATGAGGGACAGAGCCTAGAGGATAGCCAAGCAGGGGCTAGAAATGAGGCCATGCACCCAGCTCCTACCTCTGGGGCTCAGCAGAGAATCACACAACTGCTGGGCAACACATGGATGGACAGACCAAAGTGCACATACAGACCAAGTCGGGGCTCCAGGAACCACACACAGGGCTCCAAGGGGCCCACCTCTACACACACACACACACACACACACACACACACACACACACACACACACTTACTCTAGAAGACTCTTCACCACATCCACACAGCGGGACAGCGTCAGGGACGTGGCGGAAGCAGACCTGGGGTAGAATAGAGAGAAACATGCTAAGGGACTGACCAGTACGTGTGCAGATAGCAGCCATTCATCTGCCAAGACCCCCAGGGCTCATAGCCTTTTAAGCCCAGGATGAGAACTTGGCTCCTTTAAGACCAGGAGAGCGGGATGACCCAGAGCAGTCCCAGGAAGGTAAAGGAAGGGAGGGAATTGTCAATGAAGTCTCCCAAAGTTTCCACCATGGTGGTAAGAACTGCCTCACCACCCGAGTGCCCAACAAAAGTTCCTGGGAGGCGATCTGGGGCCTCTGGAGGGGGTGGTGATGAAGGCACCCCCAGGCTGTGATAGCATAAGGCTGGGGGCAGGGAGGTGGGGGAGCCTAGACCTGCTGAGACCTCAAAAATGCCAAAGAGAGGGTGAGTCCTGGGGTGACTTGGCCCACAAGGTCTGCCATGGGCTTTGGGGACCAATGTCGTATGCCCCTCCCCAAGGTTCCTTCACTGCCCTAAGGCCTGGACACCAGTGACCTACAAGGAAGGGCTGGAGGAGAGCCTTCAGGCTGGGGAGTGTGGCAGGAAGGAGCAGCCTGACTGCCAGGCAAATGAAGATAGATGGGAAGACTGAGAAGAGGCACCTAAGGACTGAAGCCCAAATCAGGTCCCACCATGTGAGCTGACATCTGCTACACGTGCTCAGATGTTCACACGCGCTCTGATATGCTCACCCAGGCTTGCAAACTCGTGTGTTCTCATGTCTGTGTGTGCAGCCACATGCCTGCAACAGCTGAGCCCTGGGCCTTCCCCACAGGTTCCCTCCTGGTGACACCCTTCACCAGCCTGACACCCCACCCCCAGAGATCTGGTCCTGGAAGGAAAGAAAATGGTGAGGACAGGGGTTTGGGTCCCTGAGGTGGCACTGACTCCACGTGGCTCCAGGCAATGGAGGTCAGACATGTTCTGGGAGATCTGAGTTGTACCCCAGCGTCTCCCCAAAGCCCCTCCCAACTCAAGGGCTGGTTCAAGGTCCTACAGGAAGACTCTGGGGTGGGGTCCAGCTTAGAACTCTGGTACAGTCCTCACCTGAAGGGCCTCTTCCACTTCTCACCAGCCTCACTCTCCAGAAACTCGGGCTCGGCAGGCAGGGCAAGAGTCATCTCCACCCCCTCCTTGATCCCATCGCCTAGGGTGTCTGGGCTCCTGGGAAAGGGAATGGCGCTCAGGAAGGCCAAGGGACCAGGCCAGCCCCTCCCAGTCACAGCACCTGCAGACCCGGTGACAAGGGGGTCCATGTGGGTGCAGTACAGTGGGCCTGCGTGTGGGCTTCTCTGACCACACTGTCTGCATGTGCCCTGGGGGCTCGGTCTACGCGGGGAGGGGGGGGGCGGGCAGGACCGCGGCTGTGTACACGTGTGGTCAGATGTGCCATAGGCAGGTGTGGGGCAGGGTAGAACTGGAGGCAGGGGGCCCGAGAGCAGGGGTCTCCAGAGCCCGCGGGGCAGAGCCAGAGCCAAGGCTCCCTGCCCTTCACCACTCTTACTCGCTGATGCTCACTGTCCGCTTGGCAGCTTTCTTCAGCTCCTGTGACACCCGCGCCTGCTTGGCCCTGGGGGCAGAAAAGCATCCTGGGAGCCAAGCGCCAAACGCTGCTGCCCTCCTGCGATGGCGTGGGTGGGTCCCCTCTCGGTGGGGAGCAGAGCGAGGCTCCAGTTCCTCGAGGGCGGGGCCGGACCCCGCCCCGACAGGGGGCGTGACTGCGCGCCTTCCCGAGGGGCGGGACCGGGCGCTCTCACCTCTCGCGGCGCTCGAGGCGCAGGTTGCGTTCGGCTGCTGCGCGCGCCTTGCGCTGCACCAGCCGCTCCAGTAGGTCGCGCGCCTCCTCTTCGAGCTTGCGCAGTGCCGCCTCCTGAAGTCTGGCGCGGGCGCGCAGCGCCTCGTAGGCAGCCCGCTGAGCGGCGTTCCGCGCCCGCCGAGAGTCCACTTGCCGGGTCTGCTGCGCCCGCGCCTCCTGCAGCTGCGCCACGCGGGCCTCCAGAGCCGCAAGCCTGGAGCAGGGGGTGAGCCAACGTCACCGTCCAGTGGGGACGGATTTCAGAGCTGGGACAGACTTGCCTTTGGCCACCGCCAGCCAAGCAACTAAGGCAAGTCTCCCACCCAGCCTTCCACCCTCAGAGTCCTGCGGTTCCGGGCATTTGGGGACATAGGGAAAGCTGTCGGGCCTTGCTGGAGACTCGCGGGGTCACCCCGTCCCCCCTCCCCGGCAGAAAAGGCCTGAAGCCTCCCAGAGGTGGGCACGGTCCCTGCCGCTCACCTGCTCTGCCGCTCCTCCAGCTCGGACTCCAGGGTGCCCAGGGCTGCGCTCTTCTCCACCACCTGGTAGGCCATCTGGGGGAGATTAGGGGCCAAACGGTGGGTCTCTGTGTAGGATTTCAGCCAGGGGCTGCTACTCCACCCACACTCCCTCTTACTGAAAATCAAGCTGAGGTTCACGTAAACTTAGGGTCTTGCATGGTAATGAACTGCCTTTTCATGGAATAATGGAGGGACTTAGGCTCTGGAGTCGAACACCAGAGTTTCAATCCTGGCATCGCCACTTATTTTCTCTGTGACCCAGGGGTAGTCATTTAACCTCTTTGAACT